CTACTACTACTACTACTACGTGCTACAGTGTCGTGGGTTAGGTGACCTCGTGCGCCAATCGTAACAGTACCAATACAGCGGTCGTTAGCAAGTATCACATGCATAAGTATGGGCTAACAGCGCAAAATCAGCACAACTCTTTGTGCAAAAGGGCCATGCTACTTAATGGCCTTAAGACTCCACAATCTGAATCTAGGACGACCTTCCAAGGCTGGAGCCCGGCTTCTCATCCGTACACCGCAGGGTCACAACGATCTCCGTACCTCGACCCACCTCTGACCTGAGGGACGGCTGCTGCCACACTGTGATTTCTGGGCTTCTGCTTGGTTTCATGCGGTTTAGCGATACAGATGTAGGATCTCGAGTTGAAGGCTGCAGACAGCACAGGGCTCAAGGTCCTGGGAACTTCGTAGGATGCAAAGCTCTTTGCCTGGGTACAAAAATGGCTTGAGGAGCCTGTAATCTGATTGCGAAGAAGATGGCCTCGGGTCCTATCCGAACCTCCTGCCGCCCGAAGATATATCTTTTACCAAATTTAGAACGGCAGCCTTATTACACTTTGCTACATCTCGGAATCGAATTCATGAGCGAGTCTGCAATCCAAGATTCGCGACCTGATGGACAAAATACCATAGGAGTGTATCTTAAGTCTCAAAGCAAGCCTGTCTGTGTCCAACTCGCGTTGTACTTTGCGATATCCCTCCACCCTGAGCCCCACAGCCTGCTCCCTACTTCTAAACAAGAAGCCCTAAAACCCTACTCCTACATTCTCATTCCCAGTAAAACCCCAAACCCTGAACCTAAACCCTGAAGCCTGAACCCCAAACTTTAAACCCCAAACCCCAAACCCTAAACCCCAGGCCCAACCCCTGTACCCTAAACATCAAACCCTAAACCCTGAACCCTAAACCCCAACCCCTGAACCCCAAACCCTAAACCCTGAACCCTAAACCCTAAACCCCAGACCCTAAACCCTAAACCCCAGACCCGAAACTCTAAGCCCAAGCCCTAAATCCCAGACCCCAAATCCCAAACCCTAAGCCCTAAACCCCAGACCCTACTCTAGGGGCCTTAATAGTTAGAATACGGGTTTTTGGGGCCCATTATACAATAAATCTAATAAGGAGCCCCCGAAATAGTATTGGTTACTCTTAAGGCCCCTATATTACCCAGACCCTACCTAGACCCTACTACCCTCTATTGTATCCCAAATACCTACTATTAGCGACCATATAAGGGCTCTACTAAAGGGCCATTGGGGGGTCCTGGTACTCGCTCTCTCTCGTTCCCAAACCCTAAACCCCAAACCCTAAACCTTAAACCCTAAACCCTAAACCCTAAACCCCAAACCCCAAACCCTAAACCCTATATTACTCTCCCTCCTTCCGCCCAAGAGCTCCAGAGCCAGGCCGAGGCCAGCGTCGTCCGCCAAGGCGGCAGCGGCTGCGAGGCCGAAGCCTGGGCCCTGCATTCCGGGTCCCTTAAAAGGGGGTTGAGGGTTTAGGGTTTTAGGGCTTTAAGGGTTTAGGGTTTAGGGTTGAGGGTTTGGGGCTTTAGGGCTTTAAGGGTTTAGGGTTTAGGGTTGAGAATTTAGGGTTGAAGGGTTCAGGGTTTAGGGTTGAGGGTTTAGGGTTAGGGTTCATGGTTTAAGGGTTTTAGGGTTTGAGGGTTTAGGGTTGAGGGTTTAAGGGCTTGGGGTTGAGGGGTTTAGGGGCTCTGTGTAGGCTTCCTCTTTGAAGGGTCCTTCAAGGGTTCTGTAGGGTAGCGTTTTAAGTCCTTTAAGGGGGTAAGGCAGTTGGGTTTTCCTGCAAGAGGCTTTAAGGGATTTAGGCTTTAGGGTTTGGGGTCCATTTAAGGGGGTCCTTTAGGGTTCTGAGCGGGTTGTATAAGGGTTCTGTGTTCCACGTAGGGTTCTGTATGGGGTTCCTTTAGAAGTGTCCTTTCAGGAGGTAAAGGGGGTAAGGGTTGCTTTGAAGGGGGTCCTTTAAGGGATTTAGGGTTTGGGGTTTAGGGTTCCTTGAAGGGGTTCTGCAAGGGTTCCTTTAAAGGGGCCCTTTACTTGAAGTGTTCTATAAGGGTCCCTTCAAGAGCTTTATAGCATAGGCTTAGGGACTTGTGAGCGTAGTATATATTACGGTTTAGCGCTTAGGATTTTCAACAAGCAAGTAAAGCAAAGAAACCTGGATGCCCCTTCGCTGAGCTTGTTGCAAGACCGGCTCATGTCGCTACTTTGGACTGCCAGTGCCGTTGCACAACGTATGATGGATCGAAAAAACACCTCCAGCGATGACTGCTAGCACGGTCAAGTTGCGGGGCACAAGAGTTGCAATTGCCACAAGCAAGACTTGATGTGCATTGTCCACGCTGTCATTGCAACCGTAGTTATGATTGCAATAATTATCGACAGTGGTCATGGTGGTAACAGCATCACAGCAGCAGCTTAGATTGAAACTAAAATTCAGATTATGGTGGCTGCACAAGCAATCGAACCGTCGCAGTACACTCATGCAAGCGGTAGTAGGACCAGTGACAGTAGCTATGGAAATCAGGGTAAGGCAGCAGCAGCAGCAGTAGCAGTAGCAGCAGCAGTAGCAGCGCAGTAGCTGTAGCAGTAGCTGGAGCAGTAGTAGTAGTAGTAGTAGTAGTAGCAGCAGTAGTAGTAGCAGTAGCAGTAGTAGTAGTACTAGTAGTAGTAGGAGTAGTAGTTGGAGTAGTAGTAGCAGTAGTAGTAGTAGTAGTAGTAGTTGTTGTAGTAGCAGTAGCAGTAGCAGTAGCAGCAGTAGCAGTAGCAGTAGCAGTAGCAGTAGCAGTAGCAGTAGCAGTAGCAGTAGCAGTAG